AAGGGGGGCCCCCCCGGGGAAGACTATCCTACCCTGGAAGGGGGGGCCCCCCGGGGAAGACTATCCTACCCTGGAAGGGGGGGCCCCCCGGGGAAGACTATACTACCCTGGAAGGGGGGGCCCCCCGGGGAAGACTATCCTACCCTGGAAGGGGGGGCCCCCCGGGGAAGACTATCCTACCCTGGAAGGGGGGGCCCCCCGGGGAAGACTATCCTACCCTGGAAGGGGGGGCCCCCCGGGGAAGACTATCCTACCCTGGAAGGGGGGGCCCCCCGGGGAAGACTATCCTACCCTGGAAGGGGGGGCCCCCCGGGGAAGACTATCCTACCCTGGAAGGGGGGGCCCCCCGGGGAAGACTATCCTACCCTGGAAGGGGGGGCCCCCCGGGGAAGACTATCCTACCCTGGAAGGGGGGGCCCCCCGGGGAAGACTATCCTACCCTGGAAGGGGGGGCCCCCCGGGGAAGACTATCCTACCCTGGAAGGGGGGGCCCCCCGGGGAAGACTATCCTACCCTGGAAGGGGGGGCCCCCCGGGGAAGACTATCCTACCCTGGAAGGGGGGGCCCCCCGGGGAAGACTATCCTACCCTGGAAGGGGGGGCCCCCCGGGGAAGACTATCCTACCCTGGAAGGGGGGGATCTTCATTGCGGGAGTTCTCATCCACGCCGAGGTCCAGCCCGCTCCTCACGCCCGGCCGCATGTTCAGGGCCACGATGGTGTCGTCCATGCTGTCCAGGTGCTTGTCCTGGCTGGAGGGCAGAGGCTTGGATAATGGAGACGGGTAGAAGGTGGACACCTCCTCATCCTGATCTTCCTCCACTCCTCCGTGGTTGTCACTGGACCTTCAAAGAGAAGGAAAGGATGGAGCCGAGACGTTCCACAGACGCGCGCGCGTTCCACAGACGCACACTCGATCACACAGAGTTGGCAGATTGGCGGGAGCCATTACCTGTCTCCAGTCTCCAGGTAGCTTGAGGGGGAGGTTGCATCGTCAGGGGCTAACAGGGAG